GGCAAAGAGATAGAGGGGGGGAGGCTCTCCCACCACCACCCATCAAGCTTTGGAGTCATCCTTCCTGAGCTAAGACACAAATGTGTGAGCCGGAGGCTAAAAAACTGAAAGCTAGCTCACACTAACTCATCTTAGAGGGAACACTGGTTTGGAGGCCATGATGAGATGGTTGAAACAGAGTCAGCAGAGACTGAATCCAGCAAAGACAGAGGTTCTCTGGCTTATCAAGGAAGATTTTCAATGTTCATAACAGCTGTAATGTATAGTAGAGCCTGCCATATGTAGTAGAACCTTCCTTGATAATTGTGAGACATCACCAGAGGATATGAATTTCTGAGAGACATTTTTTATCCTACATCTTTGTTCAGAAGAAGATCTTCCTTCGAAACAGCAAGACATTCCGGAGATCACCGTCAATATATTTTTCTATGATTATGTATATTATTATTTTTGTTCACTTTTTAATGATTCTTTAAAGACATATATTAAGCATCACTTTTTCACAGTTTTTCTTGTTCTCCGTATTATCTCATTACTGTGCCAATCAATTGTTACTATACATGTTCTAAGAATGAACATTGCCCTCGGCTCCTGTGACAGACTGCACTTTTTCATAGTACAGCTAAATCAGAGAACCAGGAGATAAAGAGTTAACTTTTCCCTGGAAAGGAGAACTTGAGTTACAGGCTGAACCTCTTCTCTGATTGGCCAGTGGCCATGGAGGAGCAGATATGATCAGCTGAGTGCTGAGGGGAGTTGTCAGTTGTGAGTCTGGAGATTACAGTTGAAACCATTCTGAAGGCAGTCATTTGTTTTCTGACAGTTTTTGGGTCAGTGCATCTGACAAGATAAGTCAGACAGGTTCACCTGTAGAGTGAAAGTAAAAAACTCCTTGCCTTAACTTTAGTATTCCTAACCTGAGGAAGAATTGACTACAAGAATTCAAAGTCTAAGTGTCAATGTAACCTGAAGTCTGCTTTATACAGACACCAGAACTGGGAGAGAGATTTGGCAAGAGTGATTGGGGTAGGGCAGTGGTGGCGAACCTATGGCATGGGTGCCAGAAGTGGCACTCAGAGCCCTCTCTGTGGGCACGCATACCATCGCCCCAGCCAGGCCCAGACCACCATTAAAGTGTCAAATTCGCTGCCAAATATTTTTAAGTAAATTTGGGATTGCTTTCCTTACTTTGTTTGGGTTGTTTTTTTCTAAAGTAAAACCTCAGTATTCAGGTTAAATTGCCATGTTGGCACTTTGCGATAAATAAGTGGGTTTTGGGTCACAGTTTGGGCACTCGGTCTCTAAAAGGTTTGCCATCGCTGGGGTAGGGTGTGGAAACTCCCTTTCAAGCCAAAAAGGAACAGGGTTAATTCCTCTGAGGAGAAGATTAATCCCTGCCCAGTGTCTCTGAGGGTTTAGCTCTGAGGAAGAACCTAGTCTGTTGTAAGGGCAAATGATTTTAAACAACTCAGGAAGTAGAAATAAACTGTAATTTAACCAAGGAATGAATTAGGTTCACAAAGTCAGTGACCAACTCCTGCAAACCTGAACTGCCATAGGACGGTGGACCTGCAAGGCCGGTGGGAGTGCAAGGAAGCCCCGCGAAGGCCCTCCCTGGCCCCAGGCAGGCAGGGGTGGGGAGAGGCGGGGAGGAAGCAACTTACCCTCCCTCTTCTCCTGCCTCCTCCTGGCTGAATGAGGGCTGGAAGCGGGGCGGTCGGAAGCAGGGGGTGGGGCTTCGTCATGTGCCCCGACCCCTGCACCTCACCTGGGGGAACTGTGTTCCCCCGCGTTCCCCCCTGAAATGACCTCTGCATACAACTAAGAACTAAGAGTACCTGAAAATAAGCTTTAATAACATGATTTTGCCTGCTCAAAGAAGTGAACCAACAACTTCTACCTCAGCAATCCCAATCCCTGACTCACCTAGTCAATACCTGCCTGTTGAATAAACTTGTTCTTTTGTTTTCCTGTTAAACTGTCTCCAGTGCCATTTCAAAAAGGAAATAAAAAGAGGGTTCCCTATTTTCCACAACAAATTCCTTAGGCTGGGCTAAAAACTGAATTATATTCTGTGGGACAAGGTGGGACACAAATTTTTCAAAACCTTTGATTATTTACACACTACCAATGGCTGCTCAGTCACAGCAGGGAACCAAAGAATTTTGGTGGGAAAGTTTGTGCCAGTGTGGCGAGAGTGATAGGGGTCCATCATAGCTCCCTTTAATGTATTCTGTATAAATCACATCTTCATTTTATAATCTGCACAGACGATAATGGATACATTTCTTATGCCACAAGTTTCTTTTTTGAGCTAAAAGTGTGTCCATGTATATTCCCCTAGGCTTGTCAATAAATTTTGAGAATGAACAAAGTAAAACCAACATGTATACAAACACAATTTCTGGTGAAATTTATGAAAGTAATTCACTGCTTTTCAATTCTGTTGTAAACAATGACAAAATGGATCTCAATCTAATGCCTTAACATGAAGATTAATCATGAACCTTTTGACATGCTCAAGTGAGACATTTTCATGAGCCCCCTAAATATGTGACTTTCATATATGCTGACTTAATAGCAAGTAATAGGTTAAGACGCTGAACTGCAGGCTGTGGAAGGTTGGTAGTTCAGCAGTTCGAGACCCGAGTGTGCCGCATGACGGAGTGAGCTCTCGTCTCTAGTTCCAGCTCCTGCCAACCTAGCAGTTCGAAAGCAAGAAATTGCAAGTAGATAAATAGGTACCACTTCAGTGGGAAGGTAACAGCGTTCCATGCGCCTTGGTGTTTAGTCATGCCGGCCACATGACCACGGAAATGTCTTTGGACAGCATTGTCTCTTCGGCTTTGAAATGGAGATGAGCACCGCATCCCTAGACTCGGATTTGACTGGCTTTCGAGCAAGGGAACCTTTACCTTTACCTAAGAGGTATGTATCAGTCGTACCACAGAATTCAGCAAAACCACATTTGAATCACAGAAGTAAATGAAGAATATTGCATAATGTAAAGGAAACTCTTGAGCAAAATCAGTCCTGCCAAACATCCCCTTTCCAGTTGCACTGACACACGGACAGAGTCACCACCAAAATTTAGGGGGTTATAGTCACAGCAGGTTACTACTAAAGAACCAGATCAAAACTTGTTATATGTCTAGCTTTTTAAAAAATCTTTTAAATATTTTTTAAAATCTCTTTTATATAGCCCTTCAGACGTACAAGATGTATCTACTTAACTGAGGGCAAACAAGTTCTACCAAGAGTAATCTAAGCATGAACACCGTACTGAGCAGGGGCAACATATGTACCTATTAATCATCTGTTTGGACCGTTTCCAGCCAGTCTGTCCCCGTCTACCTCCACTAAAACACCAGTGTTGCCAGAGATGACAGTGCCAATCACCTCTTCAACAGGAAGGTCCTCATTTAGTACCAGCATGGACACAGCTCACTACTGAGCACAAGGATCTCTTGTCTTACTTTTCATTGTTGTTTAATTGTCATGGTTGGCTACTGCTGCTGTCTTTTCTTTTCATCCTTGCAGTTTAGTAGCGTGCTGGTTGGTTCAGCCATATCCCAGATATTTCTCTGCATATCTTAACCATTAATCCTACAGCTTGTACTTGGTTAATGAAGCAGCTTGTACTTGGTTAATCTTTGTACATTTATTTTCCTCAGTGATCATTTTCAAGCACAATCTCAGCTGCTTAACAATTTAGGAGGTTGTAAAATGGTGTTCAACAATGACATTGTAAATCCTCACTATTACATTTGAGTCATATCTCTCTCATACAGCAGATTTATGCATTAATCGTATATTTGGGGGGTTTAATTGCTCTAAATATTTGCTTCTAGATCTGTATTTCCACACATTTTATTTATATGGTTTATTTTCATTTTATGAACAAATCGATAACCAGGCAGACTCTTTTACCACACTGGATTAGTTTTATTTATTCTCTTTGAACTGTCAAACATAAGTCTACATTTTATCAGTGGAATACTTTTACAAAACAGAGTAGGGGATGTGTATAGCTGGAAACATACATTTCAGCATAAAACAATATTTGATATATTCTAGACAGTTACCCTTTTGTTTATCCATGACAACTGAAACTAACCATCAAATGTACAAATTGATTCAAGTCTAGCCAAGTAATCCTAAGGGCGTATGAAAATGCTTTTTAAAAAGTTCTTTCTAGATTAATTTAATGCAGTTCACCAATAAAGCATCTTTGGGAGCATAATAAAAAAATTGACAAAACATGACATAGCTAGGGAAAGAGCGAAGTCATATAAACTGCTGGAGATAACAAAATGGATGGCTACAATATTTTAAGACAAAGAAACTCAGGGAGTGATTTAGTCCTTAAGTTTTAATACCAAGAATCTTTACATTACTTTAAGAGGTGATGATTGATAATGGATTGTTTTTAGGGAGGAAAAACATCAGCAGTAATATTTGATCCTTTGACTTTTCCTGAAGGAGAATTCACCATTCAACATGTTTTCATCATTTTCAGCATGAGAACTGAGGGTGTTATATATACACACACACACACACGCAAAATCATTGTAACTGATAGAATATATCAGTACCAATTTAGTCATTCCAAATCCCGATTTAACTCCATTAACCTTCAACCCTGCTTGTCTGGGAGTGCCATTGCATATGCCTCTAAGCAATATTTCATCTGGATTTGGCCATATTCTCAAATCCCAGCTGGAAAATAAAGGCATGAAAAATGGCATAGCCCTGGAGTGTGTTGGCAGACTGACTGAAGCAAAGGGTTAATATAATACTGAGCACATATAAGCAAATGTTGACAATATATTTTTACTCCAATGTTTGGAAATTAAAGACAAAATCATCATTAAGTTTTCACAAAATGAGGCATCTGTCACTAGAAGGAAAAAGAAATATTTCAAAAAGATGTTTACAGAAATGTAAAAATATTAGATATCAAGACAGATGTGAACATATTCAGTAACATTCCCTGTCTGTCAGTCTTCAGAGCTGAAGATCTTGGTGAACTCACTTAGCATTAGCTCCACAATCTGGTTTTGGTATACCATGTGGATTCCCATGGCCCCCGTCTCCTTTTCAGGCTGAAGGAGTGCCAGTGAAAAAATGATTCCTAAACTCTGAAAGAAAAATAAGAGTCATGCTTTCTTTTGCTGTGACCCTCTTTACAAAACAAAGAAATTGGTTAAAGACAAATGGATGCAACTGAAGAGTCTTAATTAACATGATGGATGCCTGTTTATCAGAGGTGATTCAACTATAAGGCTATTACGGGATAAATTATTACACCACTGGTTGGTGGTGTAGTGGTTAAAGAGCAGCGGACTTTAGTCTGGAGAATCGGGTTTGATTCCCCACTCCTCTACATGCAGCCAGTTGGGTGACCTTGGGTCAGTCACAGTTCTTGCAGAGCTCTCAGCCCCACCTACCTCACAGGGTGTTTGTTTTGGGGAGAGGAAGAGAAGGGGAGAGGAAGGGAAGCCACTTCAAGAATCCTTCACGTAGTGAGGAGTGGGGTATAAAACCAACTCTTCTTCTTCTTCTTTTATAGAAATTGACATGGAAACAAGACAAAAATGGAGACTTTTGCAACATGATGACTAATAATAAAGATAAGTTCAATAAAGCTGGTATTTTTGGATCTCAGTAGGCATGGAACATTCTTCACATCTGTTTTCTTACTCTGACCAGAATGTGGAAGAAGTTTGTACATTCAGTGGTGGATAATTTTTTATTTATGTCAAATTATATCGAATCAATCAAAGGAGGACATTTGCCTGTATGAGCATAACTATGACAACAGTTTTAGAAATTGCACCTGATTGTATCTACGTTACCTCCCAATTATATTTAAGCCTTTATATATATTTATAAATGTATATAAAACAGCAGTTTCTTTTTTCCCTAGACTTTAAGTAACTCCCTTAGAAGAAATTGCCTAGTTCATGAACTACGTGAAGACCATACCCACCAGGAACCTATTCCTCATGATAGATATCCCCCTTGGCCCTATACGGAAACTGCCCTTTCCACCAACCACAGAAACTTTGTATGTACTATATAGCTTTATCCTTACAAATTTAAGATGTACATTAGACACCAAGTAAAGAAAATTGTAGGCCTTCCCAGCTGCTAAGAAGAAGTGCTATGTTGATGAAATGAACAAGTACCCCAGACCTTGATGCTTCTGTTATACTAGGACCAATTCAGACCTTATACCTCCCATGTGCAGATTCATGAAGAAATACTTCTGTGTAAGAACAATCCATGTAGGTGCCTGTAAAGTTTGCAAGCTGCTTATCAGTCAACAGAGTGCATGTAGAAACTTCAAACATCCCTGGTGACTTGGCTGCCCAGCAGGCTATTAATGTTCAGACCACCCACTGGGTCTTGCATTGCTTGCTACACAACAATCTCTCTTATTCCCTCCTTCCCCATCTGCAACCCTTTTGGCAGTAACATGGGGACTCTGAATGCCTGTAGACTGAACCATTCAGTAAGCAACATGAAAACGTTACAGTTGCCCACATGGAGTGCCACAGCATTTTTAACGATCTCCCTCCCCCCCATATTCCACATGGAAAGCATTAACATTTGAATTGGCCCCAAACAGCAAAAACTTAAGATGTGAATGATAAACGATTGTTATCACATTGCATGCAGCAATACAACGTAAAATCTGGCCATCTTTTCATTTACACTGGAGCACACAACTATGCACTGGTCTTCTCATTTGGTTACCCATTCATTCCGTATGCCACACTAGGAACATTTTTCAGTTTCTCTACAGGCACCTTATTGGTAAGAACTCATTTTAATAAATACAAGGATGAACGATATAGTATAAATGGACACTTCTCAAACAGGAAATAAAAATTCCTGAGATATCAGCACAATGGCAAAGTGTACCTATGCAGGGCTGGGGCTATAATCTTCTGTAATCTTGTCTAACATGAGAGAGTGCAGTGGATTCATGAACTACTTATGAACTGTACTCAGGATAAAGTATGACAGTGGCAGTCTGATATGTCTGTCATGCTCCATTGAACAGCTCCAGAGCTGTTTTATTTAAAATATGTATGGTTACTGGACTAGAAAGAGTTTACAGTGGGGGAAAAAAAGTGTAATCCTTAACAATGAATGAGGGTTAAATAAAAGTTTTCTATTGAACTATTTACCGATACTCTTGTCTTTTAAGGACACTTTACAAGGAGGGAAAGGCTAAATGTTGTGGATTGCTTGAAAGAGGGCCGCCTTCAGGTAACTGTCTCAACTGATTTTCCTGAAAAAAAAGTCTTGATTTTTTTTAACATGAATTTTCTCTTTCCTATCTCTTTTCTATTTCAAATACATTTTGCTATGGCTGCAAGAAATGGCAAAAAATAAGAGGCATCATCTGTTCCATTCCGCTGAGAAGTTCTCTATCATACTAGTGGGTGGGGTCATGTAATGAACACTGTCTTGTGATGGAATCCTGCCAGTCTTCTAGTTTACCACATTCCCTGAATACAAACATTCATTTGAAAGGTTTCCCACTCCCCTTCTTGTCATGTATAAATAGGATGCTTTATTAGAGTTCTGTCTCATGCTTGTAGCCTGGGTGTCCATTACACAAAACACACTCCATATGGCACTAATCAGACAGACAATTATTAGTTTCTTAAATATAACATCTTTATTCTAAATGAAATGAAAAAGGCTTAATAAATTATTTTGCACAGTATGTTAACATTAACATCACTCTACTAGTTAGGGCATAGGTCAGGAATTTAACCAGTTGTGAAGAAACGATACCCTGTTTTAGTGTCGTTTTCAAATGAGACTTTTCCAATTAATTTCTCTTTTGAAAAAGGGTGTCTTGTAGCATGTGTATGAGGATTTGATTTTGTCACCTGTGCTACACATCACAAATTGTATACACATGGAACTCCCTGAGGTGAAAAGAGCCATACACAATGTTTTTGTTTTGTTAATTTTTGTTTACATTTTAATACTGTTACAAGCATGTACTCAGATTAGTCTGAAGGCCTGCTTTCAGATTTGAAAGAGGAAATTTGGATACATTGTCTTTCTTTAGGTAATTCACAGGGTATGTTCAGGTTGGATTTTCATTAATTATTTTTCAAGGGCTTGTCCCTAAAATGGATAACCAATTCCTTTTTCTTACATGAATGTACACACTTATTCCAGCATTATACCATAATTTCAATTATTCATACACTCTTACATATTTTAATTCGGCATGTTTTATGTTATTTACTTTTTGCTTTTAGGAATTCTCTAATCATATGCTTCCTAAAACATGCCTTTACCTTGAGCACACTGGGAATAAGGATTCTACATTTCTGATTTCCCCTATAATCATCAGTCCTCATCTATATATCTAATAGCCAACTTGCCCCCGGAGTGCGGATCGTTAGATCAGCGCTCCGGGGGCAGCTGGGGGGCCGGGGGAGGTTTGTGCACACGTGGGCCAGTCCCCACGTGTGCACAAAAATAAAAGAAGTTAAAAAAAATCGGGGGGATGTTTAAATCCCCCCGAAAGTGCAAGAGCGTTCCGTGC